GGGCGGCGAGCGGCCGCCCTCGGGAGGGTGCTGGGGGGGAAGGTGGGCTTCTTGTGAGGGGTAGCGCTGGAGCCTGGCTGTAAGCTCCGTCTGCTGGGCTCGAGGCTTCCCCGGGACCAGGCTGAGATCGGGGCCATCAGCCTGCTCGGCTTTTCTGTCCCCTGGTCGTGTCCCGCTGAGGCTCTCGGCTTCTCTGGTGCTCACCAGTGGTGTTGGCAGCTCTCGAGCTCTGGTATCAGATAAAGGGAAGGAATCGCATCCACAGTCAGGTTGTCTGAAGTGAGACCAGCTCTGGCTGCGCAGGTATGCAACAGATGATTGAAAACAAGCTCCTCAAAATCAGTGGACCTTTTAAAAAGTTTGTTTTTTGAGAATAAGCGAGGGCATTGACTTGCCACAGAGCAGTCACCGTGCCAGAGCCCTTCCCAGGCTGCCGAGCCCAGGCTCCTCTTCGGCTGCAGGGCTGCGAGCTCTGTCGTATTACTAAACTCTTAACATCGTGCTCCCGGGGCTTAAAACAAGTCTGAACACTTCTTTTTTTTTAAAAAATACTTAACTGTGAGTCTTGGAAGCATCCAGCAGAGAGGCTATCCTTTAAAATACACGCTTTACCGAAGCGATGCGTGACAACCGCGTGCAAGGACGGTGCCGTTGGTAGGAACAACTGCTTGGTGAGGGGCTTCGACAGGGAAAAACTGCTCGGGGCTGCGGGATGTGCCTGCCCTGGCACAGCAGCTCTGGCTCGGTCGCAGACCAGAGTAAGCAGATGCACGTTGTCCTTGCTGCCACACTCGTGTAAATTGAATTAAGAACGTGAATTATTTTAATAGCACCCAGAAGGGTTGACTCATTTGGAAGAGGCTCCGGAGGAGGTGGTCCCGCCTGGGTGGTGGGACACGTTTAAAGAACGGAGGAGCCGGCAGCTCCCGAGCAGGCACCTGGTTCCCAAGCGGTCTCCCTGAGATGACTTAACCTGCTGTGAGCGCAGGCAGAGCAGTGGGCAGAAAGCACGGCTCTGGGCATCCGTGTCGTGGGATGCTGTCACCCAGGGCTTTGTTCGTCCCAAATCTCGGCTCTGCCTCTCCAGGACTGGCTCTGCAGCCTGGCAGCGCCCGTTCCCGGTAACGTCCCTGACCGCAGCTGTTTCTCCAACAGATTTGTGCTCCTGCAGATCCATCTCTTCCCCTGACTGTTAAAAACCACACTGAGGTTCTTCGATGCTTCACCGTCCTGGGTAAGGGATGAGGCGGCATGGCTGTCCCAAAGCCTGCTGCGCCGGCGGTCAGACCCCGTGGAGAGGCGTGGGCGTGCTGCACCGTGGCTGGTGTTTTTCCTGGTGTTTCGTGGTCCTCTCGGAGGAGTTGTGCGTGGTGAATGGAGGGGGTTGTTCCCCCTGGTCTCAGCAGGGCTTGGGCGATATCATGGATGTCTCTCGGCCGTGTGGGGAGAGGGGAGGGAGGGGAGGGTGGTGGTTTCTGTCCTGTCTCTAGCCCATGGCTTCAGGCTCACAGAGGGCACTAGGGTTGGGTGTCCCTAAAGGCTGGCGTCCCGGGAGAGCATCTCTCGCCGGAGCTCTTTGAGGAAGAGCATGGAGCTCCCCGGGAGCTCACTGCTGGCTCAGGCCTGATCGTCCCCTTCCTGGGACCTTCCCAAAGGCGCCTGGCTCCGATTTAAAAGTTTATTCAGAGCCTTTGGAGTTGTACCAGCCCATTGAGACCTCTGCAGGAGGCAGGTTCTGCAGCGTGCCCTGCCTGTGTGCAGGGGCAGCCGATGTGGTTTGACGTTGGGGGTACCCTGCTCATCCGCACCCCTTGTTGCCGTATCTTGTGTGCAGCTGATGCGATCGTTATTCCGCGTTACTGCAAACGTTCAGAGCACAGCGGGGTCCCCTGCGGTCGGACCGAGCAGGAGATGGGGGCTGACCTACGGCTTCGATGTTCCCAGGCGGCACGGGGAGCTCCGTGACTGGAGCCCTGCCTCCTCCCCCAGTTTTGGCTCTCCTCACCGAATGGCCATGGCACAGGCAGAAGCGTGTGCGATTGCCAGAAAAAGAGCAGCGGTGTGACAAGCTGCTGCTGAGTCACAGTTGGGTGATGTCCCTTTCTTGCTAGCCATCGTGAAGGCAAACCTGCAGCCGTGCTGCCTTTGCCTGAGCAATCTTCAGGCTACCCTGCCTCGGAGCAGCCCGCCCCTCCCCAAACACCCCTCTCGAATGCCCACGAGTGTCGCTCCAATTTCAGCATCCGTAGACTGGTTTTATTTTTAACAATCAAAATGTTTTGACAGACGGGGCAGCGCTTGTCGGAAAGTATAATTTAAACTCCTTCAGCTCCCAAGAGAGCTCAGGAAATGTGCCGAAAGCACCGGAGAAAAGCTCGGATCTGGATGCGAAGAGCGGGATGGGCTGGTTAGCCTGGCTCGTGGGGTGGCACAGCCGCAGGCTGCTTCCCCGGGGAGTGGCCGGGCGAGGAGGAACGGTGCTTTCCGAACTGCACGGGGTTTGATGCAGCAAGGCGAAGCCCTGCCGCGGGTAGCAGGCACACAGCCCCACTGTCGCACGTGGGGATACGTGGGGCGGGATGTCTCCGTATGAGGGATGCGGTGCCTGCATCCCAAATCTTGAGGCTGTGTGCCATCCCTGGGGTGACGTGCGTCCATGACGGTTGGTTTGGCTCTCCCGCAGCCTGCTCGTTCCCTGACCGTGTGCTGGCCTTCCTCCTCCCGAAGCTGGAGAGCAGCAACGAGCGGACCCGTGTGGGGACCCTCCTCATCATGAGACAGATCATCAACAGCGCCCGTGAGTACCGCGGGGGCTGCCACCCACCCGGCTGCCATCCCTGCCAGGGTCTCAAAGCAGGAAGGTGTGGAGGAGCTCCAGGCAGACTTTCTCCTTCCTCCTCCAATGGGTCCCTTTCCATGAATCCCCTCATTCCCCTGCTGGGACCTGGGATGAGATGAGCCCATCCTTGGCTGCAGGGTCAGGGGAGGAGGAAACCAGCCTGGTGGCCTGGCCAGCTGGGAAAGGGGCGAGGGACAAAGCCCTCTCTGTCGGGGAAGGGGGATGTTCGGGATCAGCAGCTCTGTCCTTGGCAGCTCCAGAGCATCGCCGAGCTTCAGGGTCTGTTGTCTTGTCTTTTTTTTTTTTCAGCCTCTCAAATGGAGATTAAGAAGCCCTTTATTCTTTCCTCTATGAAACTTCCTCTGCAAGACAGCAACAATAAGGTAAGCTGAGCTTCTGCTCTTCCATGGGGTACTTCAAGGGTGGGGGGTTATTTCTGGG